ATTGAATTGGTCGCTGTTGTAAGCGGCCCATGCTAGTTAACTCCTGTGCCGAGGTGATTAACCCTAGCAACACTTGCCACTGGCGAAGTGTGTGTGGTTGGTGTAGAGTAGATGACAAAAGAAGTAGAAACTTGTGCCATCTGTCCCTCGGTACAGATAGGATATCCTGGTCTGTCTTAAACAGGTCTCCTATGAACTGAAGTCAATAGGAAGGAGAATACTCCCGACTTCGCCTCGTTGATTGTCTATCCCAGTTATTGACATGTGTTGATGATACAGTAGATCGCCCTCCATCTACGACTCGAACCAAGTGTTCGTCACGTGTAGATAGTTATTGGCTTCATTACTCCTGTAAATAGCCATAAGTGTCACTGACATGTCAAATGGGAAATACTACCATTGGTAGTGAACCCCAATGAACTGGACTTGAAAAGTCTACGGTTGGGATGGATAGTCGAGACTGATGAAGAATCAAACGTTCGTTGAACACAGAGATTGTGGATCATTCTCATTTTGTCTGGGTCCTTCATGAGTACCAGGTAGGTGTGAGGATAAAACCCCGGAGTAAAGACTGGGTTGTGAACCCACTCTACAGCTCTTCTTACCAACAGTATGTCTATGTTGGATTTTCCCAATCAAACTGTGGTCAACGGTGGGGTTAACTCTACCCTTATACGGACACCATGATATAGTGCGATAAGTACGAAATCGTCCTTGAGACTTGTCTCTGCCACTCCCTTTCTCAGTAAGGGAATGCTGGTCTTCCCTGAGAAACGCGCGTCTAGGCTTATAATTCCCTGACTTGGACTTTCCAAGCTTTTTGGGAACTTGACGTGCGTGTCTGCGATCTGTTCGTTGAACAGGGGAGTAGATGATCAAGGTTGACGTAATAGACTGCCCTTGAAACCAGCATCTCAGTTGGAAACGCTATAAAGTCTTGGGTGTAACGGTAATCACCGTCAGAACGGTCTCAAGATGAATTTTCCTGTGGTCAAACTGACGCTGTAGGAAAAACACCATAGTTTGGAAGTGATCTAATCAGATAGGGTTATCCTCTAATAGATTCTGATCCACTGCAAACATTGACGATATTGGTCGCTTAAATCACGGAGCAAATGTGAGTTTTGGAGAAGGCTTCCTCCAATGACCTCGTGGTGTCCCTCTTATTTACCCTGTTATCAGGGGAGGGCGTTACTGACACGAGATGGTCTGCTTCCCAATCGGGTACATGTGCTAAGCTGATCATGTGCCGGTTACGTAACCGAGTACACTGTAAGCCTTGGGCTAACGTCATTGTAGAGACCTTGATTGATACGCAGACGCTGCGCTCAGCGCAGGTCTGGAATGTTGGAACAGCGCTAAGCTGATCGTGCGTCACTGGCGTGATAGGAGCGCTTGGGTATCAGTCAGACGCTGCGCTCGGCGCAGGTCTACGCTGTATATGTTGGAACAGCGCTAAGCTGATCGTGCGCCGCTTGCGTAATAGAAGTGCTTGGGTTGTAGTCAAGTGCTGCGCTCGGCGCAGATAAATCAGACACAAAATTCAAAAGTATTGACTGGATCAAGGCTTGTGTCTAATCTACCCCCATCATAGCATCTCGATACGCTGGTGCTGTCGCCGACGTCACAGATTATCATACATGTATCTGGAAGTGTCCGGCGGCTGAAAAAATAGGAGCAGTTACGATACTCACAAAATCCTCCGGTATTGTTGATTTCGGTGGATGGTGTACTTCTGCAATCACAGTCGTCATAATACCTGCCGATAATAACGGTTGGGTGGTAATGACAGAACCATATGTCATTCGCTATTCTGCGATAGTGACATTCCTCTCGTCTCACGACGGAATAACTGCAAAATATGATTGTGAGTAATCTGCTTTTATATAGTAAACTCGTTGGATTAGAGATTTACATAAAAATTACATTTTGAATTTTGGCGAGCACATCTACGTGCATGCCTATGACCGTGGATAAAGAGCTTTGGGCGATTATTCCACGACAATATGTACACCGAGAAAACATAATTATGTTACGCAATTAAACCATTTAAGAAATGGTACTGGAAGAATGCCGTAGAATTGAACAGTAATCTATCGGCAAAAATACAAATTGCAAGGGTATACAATATTTTTATATACGCAATTCAATGTAAACCAAGGCTATTTACATTTAGAGATTGGAGAGCACATCCGCGCGCAAACCAACCAATCGTGGATGATAATCTTGTAAGGTTTTTTCCACGACAAATAGTAAAATGCTCAAAGGTATGTTACGCAATGAAACCCTTGTTGATGAGATAATACTGGAAGAGTGCCGAAGAATTTGAACACTAATCTATCGGCAAATTTATGAGTTGCAAGGATATACAATATTTTTGTATGCGCAACCCAATGTAAACCAAGGGTATTTATATTTTCATTTAGGGTTTGGAGAGCACATCTGCGCGCAAACCAAACAACGTGGATGATAATCTTTGTAAGATTTTTCCCACGCTCAATCATAAGTTACACAATTACATATATATATGTATATTCAATGTCTGTACATATAGAGTAGGGAAAGGGCCACCTAAGTTGAATAACTTTTGCCCAATCCCGTTGACCATATATGTCAATAAAATATGTTTAAATTAAACACAATTACGCCATTGTTGATGAGGCGGTACTGGAAGAATGCCATAGAATTGAACAATAATCTATCGGCAAAAACTACGAGTTGCAAGAGTATACAATAGTTCATATACGCAACTCAATGTAAAACCAAAAATACCAACAAAAAACTATTTAATCGCATAAACATAGGTACGCAATAAAAGAATTGTTGATGAAGCGGGACTGGAAGAAAGCCGTAGATTTGATATTAATCTATCGGCAACCATATTTTTAACGAGTTGAAAAAGTATACAATAATTTTAGTATACGCAACTCACTGTTACGCCAAAGCTAGTAATATTTAAGAACATAAGAATATGTTATACATACGTAGCTGAGAATTGTAAACAATATGACTACCTTGGCAGGCAAACGATTGTAACACAATTCAAAATGGCGGCGAACAACAATATTTTGGCGGGAAAAAAGACAAGCGTCTTTTCACGCCTAATTAATTCACATAAAACTACACAACATGGTGAAAGTAATATGAAAAGAATACATCACCCATCGCAGATCAATTTTTAAGATTGTAGACAAACTGAAGGTCTAAAATTAATCCAAAAGGAGAGCTCCGCTTGGACACGTCCTAGCTGTGCTGCGACAAGCAGTGATGTGAAGATGACCTTAGGTGTCATCAAGGTCACAGGACAGCGACGGAAGGCCACTGATTGGGACTTGAGAACAACAACTTTATTTCTTCACCCAGGACCTTCGCAGGGCTGTCCTTCTAGTTGTCGTAAGTAAGCAGTGAATGCATTAAGGAGTAATGCAGGATAAGTAAAAAATGGACATTTTTTTTAAAAATATTATATTTGGAGCCATGGCTTATTTTCAGGTACAATTGCCTAGTCAGCTATCTTAACCAGCTGTTTCCTTTCAGAACTGTAATCTTGTTTTACACTTGTACATGTATCACAAAGTATATTTCTTTTAGTCCCTGCAAAATAATCAATCAGGATTAAACGTCTGTTATGTAATCACAAATAATGCATAAATTTGATCAAAACTATTTCAGTTTAACATCAGCTAAAAGGCTTTACAAATCAACTGTCATGAGAGAAGTAAATTTATAAGTTCCAAGCCATCGAGAACGACTTTCAACATTTTTTCAAGGGGGACAGAGAATCCATTATTTAGAGTCGCAAGTCGGCTATTCTTTATAGTGGCCATCGTCTTTATTTTCTTAGAAAATAGAGAACAATGTGGGATTCCAAATCTCAAGTGGAAACATCAGCATGGTCCATCTTTTGTTGGAACTATGTCACTTAAAACCGTCTATGTCGTCATCTTCAATTATTTTTAACAACGCCCTGACATGACGTCAAGTCGTGGACTGCTTTGCAAACAATCAACACAATGAAACAATTGTTGTGAACGAGCCAATCAGCATAAAGCAAACTTATAATGCTTAGTGAGGATTACTGTCAATAAATTCACCAGCATTTAGGACTCGATGTGTAATATTAAAGCTGTTAATGTTAGTTTGAACTTGTTATCTCATAGCCATCTGAATACATTGATTCAAGTGAGACCATTAACCATACTAATCAACTTTTGATTGGGATAATCACATACATCAGATATATTTAAATATACACATGACATTATGAGAATCATTTTACTGGATCATGGAAAGATGAATACATCCCCACCAAGACATTTTTGTAAATCATTTTCAAGAAAAATATACAAAATGATCCCATTTTAAAATGTTACACAATACCTAATTCTCAAAACCAAAATTAATCTATCAATCAAGACCACATTTCTTGATCCCCCTCAAAATACAATCTTCTGGAATTAAAATCTGCCTGCCTCAGCTCAATATCGACAACCAACCGGGTCCAATAAACCTGTCAAACTGCATATTTTCAAGACCTCCGCTCCCTGAGCATGCAAGCAGTAAGCGACTCAAAGCGCCCACGTAGTCATTATCGCCTTTTCCCAATCATTGTCCATTGATTGTAATGTTGGCAGTACTGAAAGCTTCAGCATCAAGATCGGCAATAAACCACGAGTGTTTTAGGTGATTAGTTGACACTTGGCCTCAAGCCTACAAATGTGCATACAGAGCACTTTGAAATTTAACTACCACAAACTGCACTCCAAGACATTTCTTAACCAGAAGTTGTAAGTAGATTGTGCGTTAATGAGATTATCGCATGAGTTGTGTGCCAGTAAGTATAGGCATGTAAGGCTGTGAGGTAAATGCTGATTGTATGTAGTGCAAGGTCAATATGGGCAGTATTGTCACAGCAGGAATACGTAATATAAGATGGGAGGTCAATAAAGATTAACTGATGGAATGCTATATACTAGTATATACACATATACCATACTTACATGTCTCCGGCGTCCCACATACTTAAGACCCTAAAATTATCATCAAGAAAACTAAATAAACCGAGTGTCAAATTTTATAGACTAACACTTAGTCAATGAAAACATTTCTTTAAAATAATTATCATTAATTTTCTTCAAAGAACCTTTCCTCTTCTGCTGTGGAATCAAACAAACTAGACGAGGTTAGTTTGATCTAGACTTGCCTAGGCTTTCAGTAAAAATAAATACCTACAAAATATAAATTTCACAGTCCTGGTGAAGGTCTACAAATTTTATTGTAAGGACTGTTTTAGACATACCACTGAAAAGATGGTCGTCAATAAAGTATTATTTAATACCTTTGAAACAATTTTTCAAGAATTTGTGTTCTACAAACTAAGACCCAAACATCAAGAAAATTAAATAATCTATCCTGCAGTTAAGATCTAATCAATGTTTATCAAGACACACCATCTGAAAAAAAGTGTTATCAATAAGGTTTGACTAAAAACCTTTGAAAATATTTCTCAATACTTCTTACAAGATCTCATCATTCTGGTTTGGTCATCTGTAGTTATAAATGGGCAATGCCTTCTTAATCATAATCCTTTTTCAAAGAGAAATTACACTCTCATTGTTCATAAAGCCAGATTGGTTTCTTATATCTAGAAATATAGTCAGTGCTAACAGGTGCTTTCCCCATTCCTCTACACAGCAACATTGCAACTCTGCATCATACTAGAAATTCAAATTTTACGAGATGAGAACTTTACTTACAATATCTACTCAACATGGAAAAATGTTACATTGGCAAGCAAATGGCAATAAATAAGTTTTTCATCATATGACTGAGATGTTGTAAAGAAGCTTGAAGAAAGCAAAATATTAGATATCTATAAGACAGAAAATACAGATGATTGAAATTGAAAAAGATTGAAAAGAAAATCATTCAAAATATTCATCCTCACTTCACTGAAAAAAAGAGAAATGTTTTCAGGGTAAAAATGCTGAAAAATAATAGGTCTGGTCTGAACAAAATAAATGATTCACAGATTTGTTAGACAATATCTGGTACTAAGTATGAAACTGACCGCAAAGAAAGAAATTATGATTGACATGGACCTAATGATTCCAATTTTTGAGAAGTTTAAAGCAACCTACAGTGATGGGTGCATCTCCCTCGGATTCTGTGTCCGTGAAGGATGTTATCCGGACTCGGAGCATACATCCTCTTCTTCGTACGATTACCGGAACCTCCTCTTCGTATACCGTTGACTCGTTCAGTTTCAGTTCGTTTGGAATACACTGATATCCAGTAATGGCTTCCGATCTTCCATTCTGAGACATGATCCTGTTGGTATGACCAGACTCAAGCTGGTATCAATAAAATATGGAATTGTTCTTGTTGGTATTTCTCCATATTATGATCACAGCGCATTAGCCCATCTTTTACTGTTAATATTGCAAACGAAACCTGGAAGCATGGATGAGTTGGAGTACCATGACCCTGGTCACCATTCTGGTCAGCAGCAGCTCCTCTGGACACAGGGTAGTCACCAGTGACCAAGTGATAAGGGTTCTGCCAGCTGCCAGCTTCCTGGCTACAACTCTCCTAGTCCGGACTGGAAAGAGTCATCCTCACGTTGCAACTCACATGAAAATGTTTTTAAGCTGCGCGGTATTCAATGGATCGTGATCCACATCTCAGAAGCTGTTAATCAATACCTACGCCAATGATATCTGTGTGGGAGAGGAGTGCAACCGCCTGAACCACGAGCAGACGCACAAAGTCGAAAGTAGGAGGATTGACCCCTAGAAACACTGTATTCCACCTGTCACAGTCCCCATCCAGACTATCACACTAATTCTACTTCCGACGTCCGGTGCTTACTTCTACCATTTACGCAAGCTAGGCTCTGTCTCCTGAGCACTACTCTGTTTAACAACTCTTCCCAAAGGTTGCTTCCACCGAGCCAATTGTTTCTTTTACGTCAGTGAAGGAAGCGTGCGGACAGCAATTGCCCAAGAATGTAGGGCTGTGATCGGAGTGAATACAAACCAGTCGATATATGAACGTCTTTCAGTGTGGTGGGTGTTCCCCTGCAGCTTGGAACCTCATGCTGTGTATGTGAGTCTGTACAGATATGCTCAGACAGTGGTCACAGGGCTCCAACTTCCAATCCTACTTACTGTCAATTACACGCTTAACACAGTCAACCGAGAACCACTAAGTAGTTCAAATCCCCAGAGCCAGAGGGATCCCCTCTCACACTCGACAATATGGACTAAATCTACCTCCACATACACCCAGCAGTTCTCCAGGTACACTGTCAAAACATAATGACCAACAGCAATAAAACATTAATTATTGGCTGTATTGCAGTCCGCAGCCTCCTTGCAGAGCACACGGCTTTCAGGTCACGTCACACCGAGAATTCAACACAGAAACACTATATCAAATTCCTCCAGCTATGCACATGTAAAAATGGCTAATGTCTTAGTTTTTGAGATTCTTTGTTGTGTGAGTGGATGTCTGTGAGGTAAACAAACTGGTAGCTGGGGAAGAAGAATCTCCACCAGCTGGCTGCACAGCCTAGCTTCTGACTCAAATACCTGCAGTATCGTGTACAGTGGCACCAGGATTCCCATAGAATAATCAAGCATGCATCAGGGCTCCACTGTTAGTCTAGTCCAACTGAATTACTTGCCAAGCAGGGCATGTTATATATTCCCACCTATAGTTATGGTATTGATTCACATGTACACAGCTTGTTCACAGAAAAACAGTGTCCTATTCAGCACCAAAACAACAGACTCATCAAGCGAACAGTCCAATGTTTCACATCAACTGTTGTATACATATAGAGAGCTAAAGGAGTCTCAGATGACTGATAATGGACACCAGTGAAGTAATCTGTCGTATCGTCCCAGTATTCAGTCTCAGTATCCAGTTGGATCAAGATGACATTCAGACTATGTCACATTTTTTTAAGTGGTCGCAACAATTTTGATATTTGTCACACATTCAAATATGAAGGCAAGTGTGACACACTGTTGCCAACCAACACACAAGTGAGAAGTGCAAGAGCTTTGAAACTTTGATAATAAGTATCTGTATCTACATGACATGGTCCCATTCGTTATCAGTGAAATACACACGTCACCAACACTACTTGTCAGGTCAGCACGGTTCAGTCCTTTCATGAAACACACACTTAAACATGTTGAACGTCAACACAGATCCACCTGAGCATTCCCTCCATGTGAGGAAATGTTTGCTTGGAAGCTCAATTTCATACAACAAATTATGGAGAGGAAATGAAATTCCCATTTCAATGAATCTCTGCACAAGCAATATCATACTACACCATAGGACGTCAGTGAATTTAACACAGCTGTTGTATAGAGTTACCTAACGTCCAACAAGCAGGGACTTACATCCCAGTCAATAACAATACTCCAGCTCAGATGGCCTCAGAGGTGTAATCAGGACGGCAACTTTCTGTCTAGTCACAGGCCTTTTGAATAAATCAAGCTCTGTTGTTGGGGTACGACGACACGCCAAGTCAGCAAGGGCCCCATTGCACAAAGAGTGAGTGAGTATGGTTTTACGCCGCTTTTAGCGATATTCCAGCAATATCATGGTGGGGGACACCAGAAATGGGCTTCACACATTGTACCCATGTCGGGTAGACCTGCACCATGACCGTGGAATATATTTATTTTATGAAAAAAACATAATCTAGAAATGCATACAAAAGCAAGTCTAGCCAGCTCAAGCTAGCTCTATTCCACAGTCTCTGAAATCAGCATAGGGAATTTTATTTTTATTTTTAGAGTCAAGATGGATATTGTGTAATATAAGATTTCAGAGACTAAATGTTAGTCTACCATGTCGGGAATCAAACCTGGATCTTCGGAGTGATGAGCGAACTCTTTAACCACTAGGCTACCTGACCACCCCTGTTCCACAAAGAAATCTCAGCACTTGGACTGTATAAAGGCCCATGTGTCAACACTAACTCCTGACAGTAGAAGTGCTAGGGTTGGTCTGTAGAACGGGGTTTGGAACTAGTCACTAGTTCACTCTCTCAAGTGGTCACTCCAGGCCCAACGTATTGGGTGAGGGAGGGGTAATGGGGCTTAACGTTGTGGTCAAGATTATTGCACCTGTACAATGATGTACATGCACATGTGTATGTGTGGCTGTTCATATAAGTCAGGATTTATGTCATTTTATAGTGCTTGCCCACAAAGATACCATGGTGCAGTTGAACATGGATAAGCCCCTCAGACACAGTATACTGACTCTGAGTGAATCAGTACTTGTTTTATCCCCTTTACGCTGAATACCAGGCAAGGTAATAAACAGCACCAGCTCTTATAAATATAAATACAGTTACGTCGCAAAAAGATATTGACTTTGTGACACATATTTTTGTGTGTGAAACAAGTAATTATTTCTGAAAGTTAACCTCTATCCATCATAGGAAACCAAGGATTGACAACAGCAGTTATTACTGTATCTTTTGTGATTTGGCAGAGATGCTGCAAGGCTAACTTGGGAGTTCAAAAATGTGAAATATCAACCAATGGAAGGCATTAAATCACACGACCAACTCATCAATTTGCAGTGGCTTTAGCAAGTTAGAGTATACTGTATTCCATGTAATAAGTGCCCAGGGCGCTCTCAAAATTAGAAATAGGGGGCTCTTATTAGAATATTATTTTGGTGAAAGGAAAACAGAGTTGAAAGATAAATTTCGTGGTTATGCTGACAGCCTGAAATGTTTATGTACGACAGATATATTTTTCCAGAATTTAATTGCCCATAATTAAGGGTGCATATAACACACGAGTGCGTATTATACGTGGAAAAATAAGTCTTGTGTACATTAATCAATCGGAAGGGGTGCCAATTGGGTTTGTTCACTAGCCAATATATTAGCAAATATCAAAGTGGGTGCTTATTAGAGCGGGGCGCTTATTACGTCGAATACAGTATGTGAGCCATATGTCATGTGACATGACCAACAAGGTAGAAAGTGGTGTGACAGGAATGTTGACTAAGCCAGCTGTTGAGTGCGTCATCTACCCACAAGGCTCTGTAACCTAACATGCCCAACAACAGAACATAACAGCTCACAATCAGCTTGCATGTCTAACATAGCCCTATACCTCTTTAGTATACCTCTACCCTGACCATCTACCCCTATGCCTCTACCCTGACCATCTACCCCTATGCCTCTACCCTGTCCATCTACCCCTATGCCTCTACCCTGTCCATCTACCCCTATGCCTCTACCCTGTCCATCTACCCTTATGCCTCTACCCTGTCCATCTACCCCTATGCCTCTACCCTGTCCATCTACCCCTATGCCTCTACCCTGTCCATCTACACCTATGCCTCTACCCTGTCCATCTACCCCTATGCCTCTACCCTGTCCATCTACCCATATGCCTCTACCCTGTCCATCTACCCCTGTCCATCTACCCCTATGCCTCTACCCTGTCCATCTACCCCTATACCTCAACCCCTATGCCTCTACCCCTACACCTCTACATTGTCCCTCTACCCTTATACCTCTACCAACATGCCTCTACCCCTACGCCTCTATCTCTACGTCTCTACCCCCTACACCTCAACCCCTATACATCTACCCCTATACATCTACAATAATCTACTCCTAATGACCTTCATTAAAATTAAAGAATAGACCACCATAAAACTAAACCAAACCATCAGTTAATTCCAAGAGATGCCAAACCATCAAAAACATAATCTTGGCAAAAATATTCTATAATAAAATAAATTATTGTCAAAATGCAATCGTATAAGTGATGTACAAACTAGTTTTCAATCCATCACCAATAATTTATACCTCAAGCAATTCAATTCTATACCCATTAAGCTGCGCGAAAATGATTGAGAAATTCAAATACACTTCTATATAGAGGAACGGATTGATCACCTTCCAAACACACATACACATGTGGCAGCTGCTCCCCAGCACAAACAACCCCTCCTGACGAATGACAAGATAGTCATAAAGCCTGCCGGGGGGGGGGGGGCACCAGGGCAAATACCACAGAAGAAACACGCTCTCCCCACAGTCCAGTCGCTCTCCCCACAGTCCAGTCACTCTCCCCACAGTCCAGCCGGTACCACCCAGTCTGACCAGCTGATAACTAAGCAGATGTCCATGTAACAGCTATCTTGCATCTGGAAATATTTGCACAAGTTGGATTTTATGCAAACATTTTGTTTTTAGGGTTTCCATGGTAACCATTGCAATCAATATCTGCATTAGTCTGTGAATTGACAAGCTCAATGTGTTAGGAATGTGGTTTTCTGGTAAAGCCAAGTCCAAACAGTGAGGTGTTTTCTATGACAATTTCAGGCAAAATTATTGTAATATTACAGGATCAATGATGGCATAAAATCATTTGGTCTTTTCAATTATTATCGGAGATCATCATTATCATGTACAATCTGCTGGATAGCCATACCGCTGGGAAAACAAGCATGTGAGTTGGCACATGAGAAAATGCATTTTCTGGCCGAATATAAAAAATAATGATCACTATGATTAATATCCAGGCAAATGATCAGTGATCATCTTAACATCCCTTGAGGATGATTCTGTAACGATCCTCTGTGGTTAAGGATTTTTTGGCAGTTACAAAATTAATGTTGTGGCACAAAAGCACTATACAGTGAAAAGTGTTTTGTTTTCCCATTGTACCTGAATACCCAGGGACTTATTGAAGGGATCCTGGCTCCTTAAGGTTCTTTCTGCTGTGGTATCAATAATAATATTAATATTAATGATAAAAGATAACAGTGTTATCACTATCCCCAACTATGGGGCACATTAGAATTTTGTTTGCTCATATAGCAGTGAATATAAGCTCTAAATCAAATTCCTATAAAGCCTTAAGGAGAGATAGGCACTTGGGTTGCTTTATGTCATTAGAAGAAATTACTAATGTGAAATTAATACTCATAAAAGGCACCTTTCGCTGGAAAAAATTACTCAATCTCGATAAGTATCTCTTAGATAAGCTGACTTCAGTAGTTTCTGAGAAACTTGTCCCCATTTCACGCAGTATTCACTAAGTTGAAATGCACAGAGCAAGGGCAATAACTTTGTAAAAAATGAATTCACAACACCAGTTTTTGAGATCATGATCAGTAACATCAGTGTGTAAAACTTCATTTCTCTGACTCAAATAGTTTTTAAGAAAATTTGTTCCCTTTGAGAAGTGGACGGACGGAAGGATGGACGCCCCACATCATGGCAGGGGATAATAGTGAATTTACAGAGTGCCTAATATCCATTAATAGGTGCTCAGTGGTGCTGTACATATAATATAAATACATGTTAAAAGTCAGAGTACAGTCTCGATCCGCTGAATACCAGTATTACAAAATAGGCAGGCCTAAACATGTAACTATTAATTTTAGTTATGACAAGGGGCCCTTGACATTTATAACAGACTCTGCAGGTACATACTGGCTGTACTTGAAAGTACTTATTATGGATGCAGGATGATCGAATGACCTGAGTGATGACAAGTGTTATGTTATCTTGTCTTAATCCTCACAAATTCTGTTCCAACTAATCATCATACAAAATCATGAAATGACCGGAATTGGAAAACCATGATCATAAGAATGGCATAAAAACTGTATTTGTGTGGGCATGGAAGCCAAGCCATCAGCTGCATGATGGGCAAGCACTGTCCAAAAGCCAACACAATCATGTCAAAATACATAGTTTGTTGGAAACATCGGATTGATAATGACTGAACCATGTTGACACTGATACTGTATTGTTGGTTTGTTTTTAACGCTTCACTCAGCAGTATTCCAGCTATATGACGGAGGTCTGTAATAATCAAGTCTGGACCAGATAATCCAGTGATTAACATCATTAGCATCGATCTGCACCATTGGGATACGATGACATGCATCAACCAAGTCAGCAAGTCTGACCACCCGATCCCGTTAGTTGCCTCTTACGACAAGCATAGTCGCTTTTTATGGCAAGCATGGGTTGCTGAAGACCTATTTTACCCCGGATCTTCAAGGGTAACTGATACTGTAAACATACTGCACTTTACACATGGTGCACACAAACAATGTATTGACTTCCATGTCCGAAAACTCCACCACACTACAGTTCTCTCCTACCCAGAGTTCCTTCCTGTCAACCTTGTTCCTCTGCCACAGGCCAGCAAGATGTGATGATTCATCCCACCTTACCCAGTCCATTCAACACATTTCATATGGTTGGCATCTATTTGATTTTGGAAAAGTCTAAACATTTTGCTAAACATGTCATGAAATGGTTAACTATCATTGTGAAAATATCATAAAACAT